GCTTCTTCCGGGACCACACGACACTTACTCCGCTTCCGGCGCCGGTCTCTGTGGCTCTGGCTGATCCCACCTCGGGACCAGTCACTGTTCGCTACACTACTACTCTTCCGTGCCCTGCTGCTGTTCCCTCTGGGTCTCCGACTGGCTTCCACGTCCCCTCGTTCTCGCGGAACTTGGTGGGCGTGAGGCCTCTTGTGGTTAGCACGTGGGTGTGTGGATTGAGCCCTCTGGTGAGACGGCGATTTGTGTTGACGGAGACACTTACAGGCCTCTTGCCACCTTTACAGCTGAGCCGGGCTCTGTTCTCTACACACTTCACACTAGCTCTGGTGGGCAGCAGCAACAGTAGCCACAGCAGCAGCAGCAACAGCAGCAGCAGCAGCGACTACTGCCCCCGGCCCCTGTTCCTTCCCCCAGTCTGGTCCCTGCGTCTCACCAGGTTGCTGCGTCCCCCCACGTAGCTGTGTGGTCAGGTTCCCGTGTCTTGTCCAGTTGCTGCGTCGTGCTCCTGCCGGTCACTTGCCCACCCCACCGTTCTGTGGCACCACCGGATGGGGCACCCGTCTCTCCCTCGTCTGCGCACTATGTCTCGTCAGCGTCTTGTCTTAGGCCTCCCACGTGTCTTGCCGTCGCTGCCGCCTTCGCTTGCACCACCGTGCGGTCTCTACGTTGAGGGTAGGCTGCGCGCCACCTCTCACTCCTCCTCCCTTCGTCCGGCCACCGAGCCTTTTGAGACGCTCCACTTGGACGTCTGGGGCCCCGCCTCTCGCCTTGGCCCTGAGCGTGAGCGTTTCTTTCTGGTGTTCGTTGACGACTACTCCCGCTACACCACAGTGTTCCCCCTTGCGAAGAAGTCTGAGGTGACTTCTACGCTGATCAGGTGGTTGCTTACCACTAAGGGCACTCGTGGTCGTCGAGTCAGCTGTCTTCACTCCGACCGTGGGGGTGAGTTTCGCTCCGGCATTCTCGCTGGATTCTGTCCTGGACGCTTCCAGAGTCCCCACATCCGAATGGGGTTGCTGAGCACCGCATAGGCTTGGTCATGGAGATCGCCCGCACCTCCTTGACTCATGCCCGTGCCCCCCATTTTCTGTGGCCCTACGCGGTTAGCGCCGCTCACCAGCTGAACCTCTGGCCCCGTGTCTCTTGGCCAGAGGTTTCACCGACTAGTCTTTCGACCGGGTCCCCTGGTGTTGCGTTGCGGTTTCGTGTCTGGGGTTGCTTGGCTCTTGTTCGCGACACCTCCGCGGACAAGATCTCGCCTCGCACCGTTCCTTGTGTCTTCCTTGATTTCCCAGAGGACTCCGCTGACTTCACCTTTTACCACCCTCCCCTTCACCGGTTCTTTGACTCCCGTGACGTCAGTTTCGACGAGTCCGTCCCCTACTACGTCAGGTACCCCTGCCGAGGTCTCCCGGTTCCTCATCCCCCTCTCTTCCTGACTTCCGCTCCCCCTCCTGCTCCCCCAGTACAGCCTCCCCCCCCTGGTCCAGCCCCGTCAAGTGTGTCCCACGCTACCCCTCCCCCTTCGGTAGCCCCTCAAGTACAGCCTCCTTCCCCGCAGTCCTCCTCGCAGCCTGCGGCAGACCCTGCGGGAGCCGGTGTTCGTGGCGAGGACCCTGTCGGTGCTAGCTCTGGGGGTGCTGGAGTTGGGGCTGAGCCCGAGGCTGCAGGAGACTCTCGTCTTCAGGGAGCTGGTGTAGGTGGTGCTGACTCTGGGGGTGCTCCGTCTGGGGGTGCGGGTGCGCCCCCTTCGGGTCCTTGTGAGCCTGGCCGTGTTACTGTTGGTGGTACTGCCTCTGGGGGTGGTGCGCCGGGTGCTTTGGAGGGTGGTCCTGGGGCTGCCGCGGCTCCGGACACTACTCCTCCCCCCCACCCCTACCCGACCCGGCACCAGGCTCGTGTTCGCCGTGCCCGTGAGGAGCAGCTGGAGTTAGAGAGAGAGGAGAGAGAGTTGCAGCGGCTGGAGGTGGAGCAGCAGCAGCAGCAGCAGCGGCTGGAGGAGCAGCAGCAGCAGCAGCCGCGGGAGCAGCAGCAGCAGTCGCAGCTGTCGCAGCCGCACCAGGAGCAGCAGCCGCAGCCACCTCCTCCTCCTGTCTCTGGTCTTCGGACCCTCGGTCTCCCCTCTCCCTCTCCTTCCTCCTCCCCCTCTCCTCCTGTCTACGGTCCCACGTTTCCTCCTCCTGACTCCTCCCCAGCTGTTCTCCCTCGTTCTCCGACTCCGTTGTCTCCCCCTCCTTTGCCCGCCTGGCCCTCTCGTCGCTCTCCTCGTGCTCGTCCCTCGTCCCCTGTCGCTCTCACTGACCTTCGTACTGCCATGTTCCATCCTAGTCCGCCTCGTTCGTCTCAGTCTGTGCTTCCTTCTCCTCCTGAGTCGGCCTTCACTGCTTCCCTCTCTACTCCTGTCACTGACTACTACCGCACGTACCGACCTGTTCTCCCTCGTGTTCTCGCCTCTCTTGTTACAGACCCTCGTGCCTCTCTGTCCTTTGTCTCCGCCCTGACTGTTGCCGTCACTGAGTTCGCCACTACTCGCCGCCTTGACTACGCCACTTGTCTCGTGGCTACTCCTCCTACCAGTCCTCTGGCCGTCGAGGGTGAGTCAGCCCTTGGCTGTGACGCCCTAGAGGACAGGCAGTTTGAGCTGGAGTTCCTGGCAGCCGCTTCCCCTCATCTCTGTGCCATGCTGCTCTCCCCTGAGGGAGACCCCGACGCCCTTGACATACCGACTCCTCGCACTTACGCTGAGGCAGTGTCAGGGCCTTGGGCCTCTCAGTGGAGAGCTGCCATGGACGCAGAGATGGCCTCCTACAGATCCACAGGCACCTACGTCGACGAGGTTCCCCCCCTTAGGGCGAACGTAGTCGATGGCATGTGGATCTACAGGGTGAAGCGGCCACCGGGATCTCCTCCGGTCTTCAAGGCACGCTATGTGGCTAGAGGTTTTAGTCAGCGCGAGGGAGTTGACTTCTTTCAAACCTTTGCGCCTACCCCGAAGATGACCACTCTTCGGGTGTTACTACACTTAGCAGCACAGAGAGACTACGAGTTACACTCTCTCGACTTCTCCACTGCTTTCCTTCAGGGTAGCCTTCACGAGGAGGTCTGGCTGCGTCGTCCCTCTGCCTTCACTGGCACTTTCCCTCCTGGGACCCGGTGGAGGCTGAGGCGACCTGTCTACGGTCTCCGTCAGGCTCTTCGTGAGTGGCACGACACCCTTCGTTCTACCCTCTCTGACCTTGGTTTCCAGCCGTCTTCTGCCGACCCGTCGCTGTTCGTCCGTCGTGGCTCCACACCTTTCTTTGTTCTGGTCTACGTTGACGACCTGGTTTTCGCCACTGCTGACAGGGTTGCCTTGGCAAACGTGAAGTCCGAAATGCAGAAGAGACACACGTGCACTGACCTTGGTGAGCTGCGCCACTACCTTGGCGTGCAGATCACCAGGGACAGAGCTGCTCGCACCATTACACTCTCACAGTCACGCATGGTGCAGCAGGTTCTTCAGCGGTTCGAGCTTCAGCACTCCACAGTACAGCGCACACCTCTTGCTGTTGACCACAGACTTACTGGACCCTTTCCTGACGCAGAGTTGGTGGGCTGCCTCATGTACCTGATGATTTGTACTCGCCCGAACCTCGCCTTCCCTCTCAGCATCCTTTCTCGCTTTGTTGCGCCAGGGAGACACCGTCCTGTTCACTGGACGGCAGCTGTGAGAGTGGCGAAGTACTTAGCGACGACATCAGGCGTGGGGCTAGTTCTTGGAGGGCAGCAGTCTGTCGTACTTACTGGTCACTGTGACTCTTCTTACGCTGACGACGCTGAGACTCACAGGTCTACTCAGGGGTACTGTTTCAGCTTGGGTTCTGGAGCTGTTTCGTGGAGGTCCACGCGCTCCTCTTCGGTCTCGACCTCTACTGCTGAGGCTGAGATCTACGCTGGTGCCATGGCGGCACAGGAGCTGCGTTGGTTGACCTTCTTGCTCGCCGACCTTGGTGAGCGGCCGAGCTCTGCACCGACCTTGTTCACTGACAACAAGGTGTCGATTCTCCTCTGTCGAGAGCCGCGACTGGAGAGCAGAGTGAAGCACATTAACGTCAGGTACTTTCTTCTGCGTGAGTTGCAGAGACGTGGACAGACTCGCTTCGAGTTTGTGGAGTCCGAGGCCAACACTGCAGACATCTTCACCAAGGCGCTTCCGCCTTGTGACCACCAGAGGTGTTGTGTGCAGTTAGGTCTTGTTGACACAGGTTCTAGTCGTGTGTAGGCTTGAATTTACCGTTTGCTTTCCTTGTACTCTTGCCATACACCTTTGTGAACTCCTGGACTGGCCTTGTGGCCCTTGTTGCTTGTGCTCACATTGTGTGGTGACGTTGTGATCCACCCTAAGCTTTGTTTCTTTTTGACTGGTCTTGTGACCGTACACTTGTGGTTTCGTTGTGATCCACCCCCAGGTGTGTCAAATGTTGTAGCCTGTAGTGAGGTTTGTCTTAGGGGGTACAAATGGTAGGGTTTGCTATATGTACCCCAACCCTCATCAATAGCACAACACTTTCATTCTTGACACCTAGCTAGGAGGGAACCTCGGACGAGCGAGGTTGGGTGCAGGTTTGGCGATTGGGAAAAGCCGAAGGCGACGCGAGGAGCCTCGGCAGCGTTGAAATCGGCCAAACGTGCTAAGTCCAAAAATCAGGCTTTACGCGAAGCGGTCAACCCCGATAAGGAATTCGGGAAAAATCCTTACAAAACCTTTCCTTTTGCTGTATGCATTACACTGTCTAACCGTGTAACAAGGAATATGCTTTCCCTGCTCGCCAATTGTTCACCTCGGCCATTTCTGTGACTGGTCTGGCATTGCTCGCCTAGGGTTGATCTAGGTCCAACCGCCAAATTTCCCACCCTTTTGACGCTCTCTGCCTGCTGCGGCTTAGGGCTTTCAGCACCTAGCACCTCCTGTCTTTCCTTAGAACCCACCTTCTTTACTCGCACTTCCGTCAGCAGCCATGTTGGTCTATCAGGATCTGATCTCTGGTACGTCGTTTATATCGGTTGTCGAGTTTCATAGATGTTCGGGTTTTTTCATGATCTGACAATTCGGTTTTCCTCAATGTGTAATGCGCTGATTCATTAGGTGACGAGCTGCTGTCCGACTCCTTTGAGGCCAAGGAGATCCAGAACGGCATCTTTTATGAAGTCGAGGGGAAGGTGCGATCTGAATAGAAATTCTGCTCTGTGACAGCACCCACCGGACGCGTGTCGCTAACTTTGTTGTCGTCGTCTGGATGATTGTGCAGTGGGTGGTAAAGGGTGGAGTTGAGGTGGACATCGGAGCCAACCCCTCTGCTGAGGGTGGCGAGGAGGAGGCTGTGGAGGATCAGGCTGAGAAGGTTGTGGATATCGTCGACACCTTCAGACTACAGGCACGTCGACAAGTCCCGTTTACAATTTCCAAAATTAGGGTCAAGCCATTTAGGGTTAAGCTTTCATATTATTGACATCGTCACCTTCATTTACGCAAACATTCGGTAGCTGATCCCATCCGTTCCATCCGCACCTCGATGTTTTTTTAACTGCAGGAGCAACCACCGTTCGACAAGAAGGCGTTCGCGGGTTACCTGAAGGGTTACGTCCAGAAGCTCGCCGGCCTGATGCCGGCTGAGAGGGGGGCGCAGTTCAGGGCGGACTCGCCCGCCGCTTGCAAGTGGCTCATGTCCAAGCTCGCTGACCTGCAGTTGTACGTTTTTTGCCGGATTTGTTTCCAACTCCCTTGTCTCTTCCTTTTTCCTTCCCCCCCCTCTACCACTTCCTCTTTTCTGAGCCTCGGAGTCATCAGCTCGGTTGTCTCGACTTATTATTTCTCCACTCTCTTATGCATTGCCTATTTGTCTGGTGCAGCTTTGTTGGTGAGAGCATGAACTTGGAGGGCTCTATCGCCTATGCTTACTACAAGGATGGTGCTGAGAACCCCACCTTCATCTATTTCAAGGATGGTCTGAAGGAGGTCAAGTGCTAAAGATGCGATTTTCCTGTCCAATGTGGCTCCATTTTTAGTGACATTTTTCTTGCATCACTGTGGTCGAGAAGTTCCAATAATGGCCCACGCAAAAACCAGAAGGCCTTTCATTGGATATGGTTGAACACTACAGGCTCGCCTTACAGCAAAGAATATGGAAAATGGAAGCAAAGGTTTCACAACGTCCACTACAGCGACTTGTAGCATTCAGAACCTGTAAGCATGTTGACATGTTCAAGTCTCCCTGTAAACACCTTATCAGGTGTTCATGTACTGAACACTCCGTTCATGACTTTCAGTCAGCGTTCGGAAGCAGGAGTTCGACCGCGATAAGTACAAGCAGCGATGAGTGTGGGAAGGAATCCGCCCGAAAGGAGTACGACCACACCGCAGAAAGAAAAGTTCAGTACTGTACTGTTTTGTTGTATGACCTCACAGAACTCACCGAATTGAACACTCTCCAACAGCCCATAATGCGCGCCCTTCAGATTCAGCTCCGCGCAAACTATCCCCCTCATCCGAAACCGCTCACGCTCAGCCTGCTTCGTTGAGCAATCCGCGGGAACAAATTTAGGGCGGCTTTGCTGTTTTATGTCTAGAAACAGATTGGACTCATAGATTCCCGAATTCGTCGCAGATTATACCAAATTCCTTAGTGTAAGCACCGAAATCCGACATGAGCTCGTCTGGAGGCCCGTCGGGACCGTCAACGTCAACGCCTGGCGGTTCAGGCCAGGCGTCCGAGCAGCAGCCGGTAGCTGGCCCGAGCAACACGGCTCTCGTTCCTGCTGACCCTGCTGCTCCGGACGTTCAGCCGATGGAGATGATTGGTCGGCCCACAAACGCCAAGTACGGCACGTTGGGCCGGCCGGTGAAGGTTCTGGTGAATTTCTTCAAGGTGGATCTGCGAATCCCCTCCTCGCCTCTTGTCCAATACGATGTGAGTAACATCTCGGTTTCTATTTCTTGCTGTTTCCTGCCGCATCTTCTGGTTTTTTGTTTGTTTGTTTGTTTTGTTTCTTGTTTGTTTGTTGCTTTCTTTGTTTGCTTGCTTGCTTGCTTGTTTGTTTGTTTGTTTGTTTGTTTGTTTGTTTGTCTGTTTGTTTGTTTGTTTGTATGTTTGTTTGTTTGTTGGTTTGTTTGCTTGTTTGTTTGCTTGCTTGTTTTTTTGTTTTTTTGTTTGTTTGTTTGTTGTTGTTTGTTTTTTTTTTTCCTTCCTCCGTAACTTCAAGGGCCCTCCCCTTGCTGGCGTATGACCTTGCTGGCACGCCCCTTCCCCCCCTCTATTGCCCAACCCCCCTTTCTCCCGTCCCCCCTCCAGGTGCGCTTCTCCAAGGATGTGCGCAGCGTGGTGGTGCGTCAAGCAATGATGAGGGCCATGTACGACCAGCACCCGACAACCTTCCCCCAGGACACTCTCCGCCTGCTCGCTACGAATCTCCTCTTCCTCCCCCTCTCTCTCCCCCCCCTCCCCCCCGCCTCCCCCTTTCCCCCCCACTTCCATTTCCCCGCACCACAGGTGCGCTTCTCCAAGGACGTGCGCAGCATGGTGGTGCGGAGGGCAATGATGAGGGCCATGTACGAGCAGCACCCGGCGGCCTTCCCCCAGGACACTCTCCCCCTGCTGGCATACGACGGCCAGAGCTCCCTCTTTGCCCTGCGTCCGCTCAAGATCCAGTCGCCCCAGGCGTTCTTCATCAGGATTATGGACGAGCGGTGAGTGCTGCTGTGCAAGGTGTGCGAGCGACGTGAACGCCGTGCACGAGCAACACCCACTAACGTTTCCCCAGCCAGGACACCCCCCCCCTGCTCGCATACGACGGGCAGAACGCCCTCTTTGCCATGCGTGCGTCCGCTCAAGATCCAGTCGCCCCAGCCGTTCCCTGTCAAGATTATGGACGAGCGGTGAGATCTGTAGGAGGATTTGAGAGCGTGTGTTGGGGGGGAGAGTTGGGGGCAGAGGGCACGTGGAGGGGTCGCTCGTGGAGGGGACGATTGTGGAGGGGACACTCTTTGCCCAACACGCGCTCAAGATACAATCGCCCCAGGCCTTCCATATTGTGATCATGGACGAGCGGTGAGTGCTGTGCGACTGTGGGGAGCGAGGGGAGAATGTTAGGGGAGGAGAGGAGACGAGAGGTGGGTGCTCGTTGCTGTTCGTTTTGCCCTGTGCGCGCTAAAGATTCAGTTACCACGGGCGTTCCTCCCCTGCTTGCCATTTCTCTGTGCAGACCCGCGCCAGCAGTGCGAGGTATGACGGGGAGGCAGTCTTAAGTCCACATGGAATATGTCTCCTCCATCTATCCTCCCCTGCTTGCCATTTCTCTGTGCAGACCCCCACCAGCAGCGCGAGGCGATGACGGGGAGGCGGCGCTGAAGAGGCCGCGCAAGGAAGATTCGAGGCCGCCGCGAATCAAGGATGAGCTGGAAATCACTCTCACAAAGGTGGGTAGATGGGTGGTAGGGTGGGAGGCATGCACTCTGGTTACCAGCATTGATTGCTGGACATTTACAAGGCACTTCAAAGAAGCGCAAGGAAGATTCGAGGCCGCCGCGAGTGAGGGACGAGCTGGATATCACTCTCACGCAGGTGGGCGGGTGGGAGGGTGCCTGTGTTGCTGCAGGGCTCCTTAGCAAGAGGGGGACAGGGAGGTCGTATCAAGAGGGCGCGGGGCAAGGGGGCCCGCCGCGAGTGAAGGACGAGCTGGATATCACTCTCACGCAGGTGGGTGGGTGTATCTCTTTTGTACATCAAGGCTGCCGCCACTACCCCAGCTGCCACCTCTGCTCTTGTCTTCGCCCTGGACGCTCCCTGAGCCCTCACACCGCGTTCCATTCCTCCATTTGCACAAGTATATCGCTCCCCCACTCCACCGCTCCCCCATACCACACTCAAACAGGTGGCAGAGGCGAATCTCGCGGACATCAAGGCCGTTATTACCCCAGCAGCCACCTCTGTCCCTCCCTGTCCCTTGTTCTCACCATACTATCACCCCCTCCCCCACTCCCACTCCCACACACTCAAACAGGTGGCAGAGGTGAATCTCGCGGACATCAAGGCCGTTATCACCCCAACAGCCACCTCTGCTCCTGTCTCTGCCCCGGACGCTTTCCGCGCTCTGGACGTCAAGCTGCGCGACTATGCTGCCCAACGGTACGCATGCCCCAATCCGAGCTACAGCTACATACACATTTTCTTTGCTGTGCTGTGCTGTGCCGTGCTGTGCGGTGCTGTGCGGTGCGGTGCTGTGCTGTTCTGTGCGGTGCTCTGCTGTACGTGCCCTCTGTGTGGGAGCCTCCGAGCTTTTGACAGCAAGCTTCGTGAATATGCTCTTGTCAAAAGGGTTCACAAGCAATTAAACCCCCAATTTTCATACATCAAATCAAATCATAACATCAGTTTCTGCCACATGGAATCTTGTGACCCAGACCGTCTTCACCCTCCTGTCTTTAACAATGCGGCACCTGCACTGTCTCAACACTCACACGCCCATCGCGCCCGTCTGCTCCCATCCCATGCTCTATCACCCCTCCTGCAGCTTACTCCTGGTGAAAGACAAGTTCTTTGACCGCAACTTTGGGAGTGCAGCAACGGCATTGTCTCAACCCTCAACACTCACACACCCATCGTGCCCGTCTGCTCCCATCTTATGCTCCATCCTTCTCTCCTGCAGCTTATTCCTGGTCAAAGACAAGTTCTTCGACCGCAACTTTGGGAGTGCAGCACTGGCATTGTCTCAACACTCAACACTCACACACCTGTTGCCCGCATCTCCCCCCATCCCATGCTCTATCACGCCTCCTGCAGCTTCCTCCTGGTGAAAGACAAGTTCTTCGACCGCAACTTTGGCCGGGTGGCCCCACTCCCGGGTGGCATCGAGGCATGGACGGGCTTCAACGTGAGCTTCCGCCCCATCCACAACGCGCTGGCGCTCAACCTGGGTGCGTGCTGCTTGCTTTGGCCAAGAGGCCTCTCTGTCAAACAGTTTTGAGTATAGGGTTGTTCAGCCAAGTACTTCAACAGCAGAGGGCAGATGGGTGTGGACCGTGCTGAGCCTGCACATCTGCTCCTTGAGGGGTGTTGAAGTTCTTGGCTGAGCCGTGCTGCATGCCGGAGCATGGTTGAATTGAGGTGCCTAAATGAATAGTTGGCGTGCTTTTGAGAATTCTCAAAAGCACTCAGCCTGGTTGGGTCCTGTCTGCAGCAGCATGCATGGTGCAGCGCATCCCCCGTGTTGGCCCGCACTCCTCCCTATGTGTGTGTGTGTCCCTGTGATAGACAGTTCTTCTCCTCCCCCCCGCCCATGCACCCTCATCATCCCACAGATGTCGTGACAGCATGCATGGTGCAACCCATCCCTGTGTTAGACTTCCTTTGAGGGCGCTGCATGTCACTTCCATCCTCCCCCCTTCCATTCTCCCGTGCACTCTCACATTATCCCACAGACGTCGTGACAGCATGCATGGTGCAGCCCATGCCCGTGCTGAACCTCCTCGGGTCCCTCCTCAACCACAACCGCCCAACCACCCATTCCCGTGCCCTCCCATTCCCCCACCTCCCATTCTCCCATGCACTCTCACTTTACACACAGACGTCGTGACGGCGTGCATGGTGCAGCCCATCCCTGTGCTGGACCTCCTCTGAGGGCGCTGCATGCTACTTGCACCCCCCCCCTCTTCTCATTCTCCTATGCACTCTCACATCATCCCACAGATGTCGTGACAGCATGCATGGTGCAGCCCATCCCTGTGTTGGACCTGCTCGGGTCCCTCCTCAACCGCAACCCGCCTGACCGCCTTTCTGATGCGGACAGAATCCGGGTACGCCTGTCTGCCTGATTGCCTGTCTGCCTATCTGCCTGTCTAAGGTGCTTCCTCTCTCCTTGTCTCTTAGCTGCTCTCATGAGGCGCCTCCGAAAAAGTTTTGCTTAATTATCCGCTTCTTATTACTGCGCTGTTCCCTCCCTCTTCTCTTCTCTCCCTCCTTGCTTCCATTTCCCTTACCACTCCTTGCCATTCTATCCTTCCTTCCCTCCTCCTCTCCCTCCCTCCCTCCCTCCCTCCCTGCCCCCTCTCCCTCCTTCCGTCCCTCCCTGCGAGCCCCCTCCTGGCTCCCTCGCTCTGTTCCTCCCAATCGCAGCTGAAGGGTAAATTTCAGGAACCTGAGGGTGGAGGCATGGCCGAGCGAGTTCGCAGGGCCAACCTGAGAATGCCGGGCTTTACTTTCTATCCTGAAAATTGCTGCTTCCTTCCTTCTCCACCTCCCCGCTCGATCCCAGCTGTGTGTGGAGGCAAGGCCTAGCAGGCAAGTAGAGTGCCACACCGTATCTTACGTTCCAACTCTTGCTGTTCTCGTTTCCTTCCTCCCTGCTTGATTGCAGCTGAAGGGAATCCTCAGGAACCTGCGGGTGGAGGGAAGGCCTAGCGGGCAGAAGCACAAGGTGTATGACCTCACACGCGAGGGGGCTGCTGACCTCAGGTGATTTTCGGTCTCTTCGTTAGGTGATTCTGCACCTTCTTCAGGTATTCTGTATGCTGCTCAGGTTCTTTCGCTTTCGCACCTCAGTCAGTGGGTGGTTTTCCACCCTCCACAGTTGATTCTGCATCGTTTCGGGTGATCCTGCACCTTCTTCAGGCGATTCTTCATCCCTAGGTGAATCTGCAGCTGCATCCTAGTCGTCGGCCCAATCCTCACATCGCCTGTTTACCAAATGCATAGACACCCCTAGGATGTAGAGCAGAGCAGAGTAAAGCAGGGTGAGTGGTCATATCTATTCACAGTCCCCCTTTGGTGGTAGAGTTCACATTGATGGGTGACCCCTGAGCGTGGCGGACTGCTATCAGAAGGGCATCGCTCTGCCTCATCTGCCAACGCCCCCCCCTTCCCCCCTTTTGAGTCGACTCAAAACGAGGTGACTTTTAAGGTGACTTTTGAGTCGACTCAAGGTGACTTTTGAGTCGACTCAAGGTGACTTTTGAGTCAACTCAAAAGTCTCCTCGGACTGCTATCAGAAGGGCATCGCTCTGCCTCATCTGCCAACGCCCCCCCCTTCCCCCCTTCTGAGGCAGGTCGTGAGAAGGGGGGAAGAGTTGTTCTACCCTTCCACCCTTTCTCAGAACAACTCTTTCTGAGGCGCCCACAACTTATCCTTTGTAGGTGTCCTAAGAACAAAGCTGCTTCTGATGCTCCTCAAAAGATGGGCATCGCTCTGCTCTACCTGCCCCATCCGCCAAATTCTTGCCCACCCCCACCCCACCCCTCCCCAACATTTCCAGGTTCAACAACCGGCGCAGCAACGATGAGAGCCAGAGCGTGGCGGAGTACTACGAGCGGCAGCACGGCATCACCCTGCGCTTCCCTCTCCTGCCCTGCATCTCCGCCTCCAACCGGCCGAACAGGCCCTGCTGGGTGCCGCTGGAGGTGAGTGGCAGGGTTGAGTTGAGTGCGGTGGAGTTTGGTAGAGTGTGGTAGAGGGTGGCAGAGTGGGGCAGGGTGGGGCAAGGCAGAGCAACAAGGTCGAGCGGTGCAGAGCGGGGCAGAGCGGGGCAGAGTGGGGCAGAGCGGTGCAGAGCGGGGAAGAGCGGGGCAGAGCGGTGCAGAGCGGGGAAGAGCGGGGCAGAGTGGGCCAGAGCGGGGCAGACAGGGTGATGCCATTATCAACGCGTCACATGACGTCACGTCATGTCATGCCTATTCCATCCCTCGACTGTTTCTCACCCCGTCATGTGCCCTTGCTAAAAACATTGTCCATGTGCTTGTGTGGTTTGCTGGTTGTTATTGCCGTCCTTGTTGTCGCTGTTGTCGCTTGTTTTCACTGCTGTGTCCGTTGTCGTTGTTGTTGCTTGTTGTCATTGCTTGTGTGATTTGCTGCAGACCCGCACAACGTGACAGCGATAGCGACGCAACAACAATGCTGATAGTGGACAGCGACGCGGCAGTAACGCTCATGGTGGACAGAAATGACATGAGCGTTGTTGATGGTCATTGCTGTCCACCATCAGCATTGCTGTTGGGTCGCCGTTGCCGCCCACGCTATGCCGGTCCGCCAGAAGCAATGACAACAAGCAACAACAACGACAACAGGGACAGAAATGACCATAAACAACAAGTGGTGACCATCGGCATCCGCTGATACCTGTGCAAGCTATCTCTCTCCCTCTCCCTGTGTGTGTGTCCCTCCCACCTCTCCCTGCCCCCACTAGCTCTGCAGCAAGGTGGATGCACAGAGGTACCTGCGCCAGCTCACACCGCTGTTCGCCACTTGCTGCACACATGTGGTCCAAGTCATCATACATGTGTGTCCGTCTGCGTGTGTCTCTCCCGCCCTCCCATCACCCTCCCACCAGCTCTGCAGCGTGGTGGATGCACAGAGGTACCTGCGCCAGCTCACACCGCAGCAGGTGGCAGCGATTGGCAATCTGCGCCTCAAACCCGACAAGCGTCGCGTCGACATTGCCAATGTGGGTGTCAGCCTGCCCCTTTGCCCGTTGCCCCTTGCCCCTTTGCCCCTTGCCCGTTGCCTCTTGCTGCTCTTCCCCTTGAGTCTTTTCTCTCTGCCCCGTGCTGCAATGCGCCTCAAACCCGACAAGCGCTGCGTCGATATTGCCAACGTGGGTGCCCCTTTGCCTCTTGCTGCTGCTTTGCCCCTTGGCACTTGCCGTTCTGCTCCTTGCCTGTTTTCTCTCTGCCCCGTGTCGCTCTGCGCTTCGAACCCGACAAGTGCCGCAGCAGCATCGCCAGTGTGGGTGGGTGTTACACATCGCCACAGCAGACTTTTCCAGCAAAAAAGCCTCATGGGTGTCCCTTGCCTTTGCCCCATGACATGGGGCCCATGTGGCTTAGCCTCTCTCCCCGCCTCATACAGCACGAGTTGATGGAAGTAAGGCATCCGCAGCCCACCTGTCCATTATTGACAGATGCCTTTGCCCCATGACATGGGGCCCATGTGGCTTAGTCTCCTTAGTATGGCTGGTATGTCTCTCTCCCCACCTCTTGAATGGTACCCCTCCCTCTTATGTTTCTTGCATGGCTGGTCATGCCATGGCACGGCATGCTATGTTGACATGGCATAACATGGCATGGTATGGTGATTGGCGTGGGATGGCACGGCATGATGACATTGCGTAATTGTATTGCATGGTGACATTGCATGGTATGGATATTTGGTATGGTTTGGTGATATGGCATGGCATAGAAATATGGTATGGTTTGTTGGCATGGAAATATGGTATGGTTTGGTGATATGGCATGGCATGGCATGGCATGGCATATCTCAGGCGGTGGGAGCAGCGGGTCTGGCAAACAACCCGATGCTGGAGGCCTTTGGAATGCGCATCCAGCCCAACATGATACAAGCCGATGGCCGCCAGCTAGAGCCTCCCGTTGTAAGCCTGGTGCTGGTGGTGAGATGGTGGTAATAAGCTGTAAGCACAGTGGTGGGGGCAGCAGGGCTGGCGAACAACCCGATGCTGGAGGTTTATAAAATGCGCATCCAGCCCAACATGATGCAGGCTGATGGCCGCCAGCTGGAGCCACCCGTTGTAAGCTTGATGCTGGTGGCATATTGGTGGTGGCATATATGCTTGAGCAGGGGGGCAAACACCTGTTCGGTTCGAAGGTTTACCATGCCGCCCCGGGATGTTGCTCTATTATTCGGACTCACCCTCTCCCACTGCTCGTTTGATCTGCTCTCCCTGCCCTTCTCTCGCTGATTCCACTGCTGCAGCTGCAGTTTGGCAACAAGGGCTCCATGCAGCCTCGGGACGGGCAGTGGAACATGAACGACAAGGTGACAGATAGGGGGGTCGTAGTGGGAACCAACGGGTGCGGGGAGGTGTATTACGAGCATGAATGACAATGTGAGGGGGCAGTCGGAGTGGGTACCAACAGGTATGGAGTGGTGTAATATGATATGAACAACAATGCGTGGGTGGGGCAGTGGATATGAAGGACAATGTGAGGAGCAGTGATGTGAAACCTGGGTGACAAAGTGTGGGGCAGTGGGGGGGGTGAATAAACCATCGGGTGGGTTATCAGGGACAGTTCAACTCGCCATAACGTCACCATGTGTACTCTATCCCCCCTCTCCCTCGTTTTCTTCTTCATTTTTCCGCATCTTCCTCCTCCCTCCTATCCTGTACTCCCCTTCTCCTACGCTGCACATAATAGAGGTACTAGCTGACCACCCACCCAGCGCATTGGAGAGCCAACAACCCCAGTGCATACTCTAAACATGCACATTACCCCACCACCACTGCGTGCGTGAAACACCCCTTGCAACACGTGCTGCTTAGCCCTCAACCAACCACTGTGTCCGTCCACGTGTCCCGCGTGTCCCTTGCGTCCTTGCCGCGTGCAGCGCAAGTTTGTACCTGCCAAGAATTTGGCATGGGCGGTGGTGTGTTTTGACCACCACGTGAGGGACCGGACCCCATGCAACGAATGCTGCTCAATCAACCCTCAACACACCCCTCCATCCCTTCACGTTCTCTCACTCGCTCATGCCGTGTGCAGCGCATGTTTTCCCTTGCCAAATTCGACACGTGGGCTAGGGTGTTGGTTTCGGCATGCGATACCCCTTGCAACAAATGTTGCTCACTCAACCCTCAACACACCCCTCCATCCCTTCATGTTCTCTCACTCGCCCGTGCCGTGTGCAGCGCATGTTTTCACCCGCCAGCATCGCGTCGTGGGCGGTCGTGTGCTTCGACCACCGTGTGAGGGACCCCATGCAGGTGGCGACTGCCCTCAAGGACTGCTGTGCGCGCAAGGGACTGGTGAGTGAGACTGGTGAGAAGGGAGCCATTGAGTTGCTGCAGAAAGCCTACCTAGCAAGTGTGCCGAGCCTAGCCTAGCCACCGGTGTGCTTCGATCGATCACCGTGTGAGGGACCCCATGAAGGTGGCGACTGCCCTCAAGGACTGCTGTGCGCGCAAGGGACTGGTGAGTGCGGCTAATGAGTGAGGTGGCATTCGGCATTTGAGAATTCTCAAAAATGAGTGAGGTGGCATTCGGCATTCGGTTCCTTTGTCCCACTATCCTCCCACCCTCTCGATGTTTATGTTTTTAGAGAGTTTAGTCTGTTTTGTTTTCTCACTTGTACGGTCTGCTGCGCTCGCAAGGAGCTGGTGAGTGTGGTGTGGATAGGATAAGCGATTCGAAGAGGGAGCGTGATCGAGCGCTTGAAGAACTTAAAGCCCGCTGCCATTCTCCCATCCCATTGCCTCTCTCAGGTGATCGAGAGCCGGCCAGAGGTGATTGTGGAGGACACGTGGCGAGAGGCGCCTGAGAAGCTGGTGGAGAGTGGGTGATAGAGCGCTTGAAGCACTTAAAACCCGCTGTTGTTTTCCTGTTGCCTCTCAGGTGATCGAGAGCCGCCCAGAGGTGATTGTGGAGGACACACGCAGGGAGGCACCTGAGAAGCTGGTGGAGCGGGTGATTGAGCGCTTGAAGCAATCCAAGCCTGCTTTCATTCTCTGGATCCTGGAAGTGCGCAAGACCAGCCCGCTGTATGGTATGTACTGTGGATGCCAGGTGCTGTCCTCCTTCCCCCTCGCCTCCTCCCCACCTCCTCGAACCAAATCAGCCACGATTTTTTCTCTGGATCCTGGAAGTCCGGAAGACGAGCCCGCAGTATTGTAGGTGGGGTGGGGGTTGCCAGTTGTTGTGCTCTCCTCCCTCCCCACCTCACCTCCCCCGCACCTCCTCCTCGCCTCCCCCTCACCTCCCCCTCACCTCCCCCTCACGGATGCAGTGCATTGGTGGCCAAGGCCTCTAACGATCAGTACCCCTCTCCACCCCTTCCTACCCCTCTATATCCTCTCTACCGTGTGACATCCTCCTTCCCCTCCCGTGCAGCGCCCTATTAAGAAGCTGTGTGACACGCGCATAGGCGTGCCCACACAGTGCATCGGTGCCCAAGGGCTCCAATGATCAGTACCCCTTTCCACCCCTTCCTACCCCTCTCTACTGCTCTCTACCGTGTGAAATCCCCCTTCGCCCCCCATGCAGCGCCCATCAAGAAGCTGTGCGACACAGTCATAGGCGTGCCCACGCAGTGCATTGTACAGGCAGGCAAAGGCTTAACGACCAGTATCTCACCAACGTGGCGCTTAAGATGAACATGAAGATGGGCACATTTGCTTTCAGGTGGGGACGTGGGTGGGGACATGGGCATTAAGGCATAGATGTGGGCTTTATGGCGGGTGGGGGGGCGGCATGTGGTGACGGTGGGGGTATGGGCCTTAAGGTTGTTGACCAGCTCAGTGAGATGCCAACCATTTCGGCCTTAACATCTCATTGTCTTGCGTGCCTCTCCATCCCCATGCGCCGCATTGCACCACATTGCATTGCATCCCACCATCTCAACCAACCATCAGATAAGGGTCATGAACTGGGTGCTGACAAACAGGCATGCCATGCGTCCCTTCAGTGAGATGCCTTGGCCTCGACATGTTTCATGTTGCCCTCACCATGTGGTTCTTTCTGTCCCCATGCATCACACCACACCACTTGAACCATCAGATGAGGGGCGTGAACTGGGTGCTGACAAACAGGCGCGCCATGCGTCCCCTCAGTGAGATGCCCACCATGGTATTCGGCCTCGACGTCTCCCACGGCGCTCCGGGCAGCCGCGCTCCCTCCATCGCTGCTGTGAGTGCACACAAGGATGTTTCATGCATGCACTTGTCTGTCACATGCTCACAGTCACAATCAAAAGGTGCGTGCGTCCCCTCAGTGAAATGCCCACCATGGTATTCGGCCTCGGCGTCTCCCACGGTGCCCCGGGCTGCCGTGCTGCCTCCATCGCTGCTGTGAGTGCATACAAGCATACATGAGGTGACTTTTGAGTCGACTCAAAAGTCACCCTGGCAACCGCGCTCCCTCTGTCGCTGCCGTGAGTGCATGTAGCATCAGTCATTCGCTTCGCACCAACAGCTTGGCGTGGCAGCATGAAAGGACGCATCTGCTGTTGTGTACCAGTTTCCATCCACGGTTCTCCGGGTAGCCGCATCCCTCAGTGAGATGCCCACCATGGTCTTCGGCCTCGGCGTTTCCCATGGTGCCCCGGGCTGCCACGCTGCCTCTGTCGCTGCCGTGAGTGCATACAAGCGTACATGCATGCACTCCCGCTGTCGCTGCAGTGAGTGCATGTAGCATCAAACATGAGTGCATAGGCATGCATGCATCTGTACACTGGACTACGCTGGACCGCACGCATACAGGACGCATCTGTATATCTTCCTCCACGAGTAGAAAGTGTATACACTTTCTACACGTGCTGTGAGTGCATAGGCATGCATGCATCCGTACGCTGGACCGCACGCGTACAGGACGCATCTGTATATTGTCCTGCACGATACTCCCAACCCCCCCAACTCCCCCCCACCAACCCCCCCCCCCCCAAAACTTCACAGGTGGTTGCATCCATGGATCCCGATGCCAGCAAGTACGCGGTGCTGGCGCGCTGCGGATCACAAATTGATTTAAACACTCTGACTTCACCGTACCCCCACCAGGTGGTTGCATCCATGGATCCCGATGCCAGCAAGTACGCGGTGCTGGCGCGCTGCGGATCACAAATTGATTTAAACACTCTGACTTCACCGTACCCCCACCAGGTGGTTGCATCCATGGATCCCGATGCCAGCAAGTACGCGGTGCTGGCGCGCTGCGGATCACAAATTGATTTAAACACTCTGACTTCACCGTACCCCCATCAGGTGGTTGCATCCATGGATCCCGATGCCAGCAAGTACGCGGTGCTGGCGCGCTGCGGATCACAAATTGATTTAAACACTCTGACTTCACCGTACCCCCACCAGGTGGTTGCATCCATGGATCCCGATGCCAGCAAGTACGCGGTGCTGGCGCGCTGCGGATCACAAATTGATTAAACACTCTGACTTCACCGTACCCCCACCAGGTGGTTGCATCCATGGATCCCGATGCCAGCAAGTATGCGGTGCGGGTGCGAGTGCGCTCACATCACACATCCTCCCAACTTCTGCCAACCCTCTCCGTACTCCCCACCAGGTGGTTGCATCCATGGATCCCGACGCCAGCAAGTACGCGGTGCGGAGGCGTGCACAGCACAGGAGGCAGGAGACCATTCTCGGCCTCTTCGATTCAGAGAGTGCCACTGGCGGCATGCTCTGGTGCGTAGCGTATCATGCTGTGGTGATTGTTTTGTTTGAAGCTTATTGTGGTCCCCCGGGGTTTGTTTGCTCGTTGTCTACTTTCTGGAGTCAAGGAAAAAGAAAGAACGAAAGAAAGAAAGAAAGAAAGAAAGAAAGAAAGAAAGAAAGAAAGAAAGAAAGAAAGAAAGAAAGAAAGAAAGAAAGAAAGAAAGAAAGAAAGAAAGAAAGAAAAAAGAAAGAAAGGGAAAAACAAAATCCATTGTTTTGTGCTTATAATCAGGTTTTGTATCGTGTAATTGGTCTTTGCTTTTTGTTACCTTAACTTGAGCATTCGTGCATCCTTCCCTCCTCACTCCCTCCTCCTTCCCTCCTCTCTCCCTCCTCCCCCCTTTTCTCATGTACTCTCTCATTCGCTCCGACGCTCCCTCCCCTATCCCTCCTTCCGTTCCGTCTTCTTTCACTTTTTTCTCTCCCTTCTTGCCCGCTGTTTCCTTCTGGTCGCGCTCCTCTCGCCCCCCCATGCCCTTCTCTCTTACTCTCTGTGTGCATCCAACACGTTACGGTGCGGTGCAGTGAGCTGATGAACGATTTCGGCAACGCCAACAAGATGGGTCCCCAGCGCATCATCGTGTTCCGGTGAGCACCTTTGAGCACTAAGAGCGAGCAGGGCAGGCTGGGGATGTGTGCGCTCTGAGGTGCCTCAAACTCTGGGAACACCAAGCGGTTGGGGCCACAGCGCATCATCGTGTTCCGGTGAGCACCTTTGAGCACTAAGAGCGAGCAGGGCAGGCTGGGGATGTGTGCGCTCTGAGGTGCCTCAAACTCTGGGAACACCAAGCGGTTGGGGCCACAGCGCATCATCGTGTTCCGGGTAACACCTTTGAGCAGGGCAGGGCAGGCTGGGTGTGTGCGTGTTTGAGGCGCCTCAATATATGGCAATGGCAACAGGGTGGGGCTTAGGAGCATAATAATCTTGTACCGGTGAGCTCGCACGAGTAGGGCAGGCTGGGTATGTGCGTACAAGTGAGTGCTGCATGCATTGTTATGGCTGGAGGAATGAACAATTTGATGTTTGTACATTTATTTTTTCTTTTGAGTCGATTCAGAAGTCCAGGCGCACGCTTTGCCTGTTAGTTGCAATTTCTAAATTGCCCACATACTGAACTTCTTCCTGCTTTCCTGTCTCAACTCCTTGCCTCTGCTCCTTGTTCCCTCACTTCGCGTGCATGTGAGACTCCTTCCTACGTCTGTGCCTCTCTGGTGCTTGCTTTCCGAGTCGACTCAACCGTCATCTTGTGGTTCCTGCATCTCTGCTTCTCCCCTGCCTGCTCTCCTCCCCTGCTTGCTCCCCTCCCCTGCCTGCTCTCCTCTCCTCCTCTCCTCACAGGGACGGCATCAGCGAGTCGCAGTTTCCAACAGTGGGGGCAACAGAGCTACAGGCATTCCGCAAGGTGAGGAGGGATGCAGATGGGTGGATTAAGGGAGGGTGAGGGAGGGACGCGGATGGGTGGATGGGGGGAGGGTGAGAGAGGAATGCAGATGGGTGGACGGAGGGAGGGTGAGGGAGGGACGCGGATGGGTGGATGAATGCAGGGTGAGGGAGGGACGCGGATGGGTGGATGAACGGATGGTGAGGGAGAGACGCTAATGGGTAAATGAACAGGTGAGGGAGGTGGGTGTAAGTGGCATGCACGCTGGTACAAATAGATCGCACCAGTGCCAGGTGGCTAACAAGAGGCAGGTACGCGGGTGGAAGGGGGTTGCTTTTTCCCCCTTCCCTTCCCCACCTCCCCACTTCACCCCTTCCTTCCTTTCCCTCATCCTGCCCTTCCCCTCTTCCCCCTTCTCTGCTTGCCCCCTCCCCCCTTTCCCCCTTCTCCGTTTCCCCCCTTCTCCTGTACCTTCCCTTCCCCTTTTCCCTTTTCCCCTCTTTCCTCCCTTCCCCTGCAGGCGTTCGAGCTGATGGGCAGGAAGGTGGGCAACCCCTCCTTCCGCCCCACCATCACCTACATCGTGGCGCAGAAGCGCAACAACGTGCGCTTCCTGCCCTCCCAGGGCGACCGCAACGTGCAGCCGGGGACCATCGTGGATAAGGATGTCACTCACCCTTTCTTCTTCGACTTCTACATGGTCTCACACAAGGGGCTGCTGGTATGTATGCAGTGCAGTAAGGGCCTTCTGGTGGTATGTGATGAAACACAGAAGCGCAACAAGGTGCGCTTCCTGCTGTCCCAGGGCGGCTTCAACGTGCAGCTGGGGACCATCGTGGACCGTGATGTGACTCACCCTTTCTTCTTTGACTTCTACATGGTCTCACACAAGGGCCTGCTGGTATGTTCTGTGTCTGAGTTGGGTAGAGCACTGTGGAGGGAAAACGTATTGCATTTGTACGTACGCTGTGCCTTGCCCGGGGCCATCGTGAACCGAGATGTGACGCACCCCTTCTTCTTTGACTTCTACATGGTCTCACACAAAGGCCTGCTGGTATGTGTGTAGCACACCGTACAACCATTGTGGCACCTCAGGGGCATTGTGGCACCTCAGGGGCATTGTGGCACCTCAGGGGCATTGTGGACAGGGATGTGACGCACCCTTTCTTTTTTGACTTCTACATGGTTTCACACAAGGGCCTGCTGGTATGTGTGTACATGCAGCAAGGGCCTTCTGGTATGATGAGATGGGTTCAATTCATTTGTTCTTTCCGCATACATGCACCTATCTATCCCTCTATTCTATGTTAGTACGCCCCTCACAACATGACACGAGCAGGCCAGTGCACAGTGCACTACCACGTGCTGCACGATGAGAATGGGTTCACATTATGCGTTCATACCCTCAGCATTCACACACCTATCTATCCCTCTATGTCAATGTGTTCCTCCCAACAGGGCACGAGCAGGCCCGTGCACTACCATGTGCTGCACAATGAGAGCTCACTTCTTGTTCATCCCTCAACATTCATCCTCCCCCATCGTTGAATATTCATTTGTATTTTGATTCGCCCCCAACAGGGCACAAGCAGGCCAGTGCACTACCACGTGCTGCATGATGAGAATGGGTCTACTCCGTTCCTTCTCTCCTCAGCATTCACATACCTGTCCCTTTATGTGACTGTCTTCCTCTCAACAGGGCACGAGCAGGCCAGTGCACTACCACGTGCTGCACGATGAGAATGGATTCACAGCAGACGAGATTCAGCAACTCACGCACTCCCTCTGCTACAAGTGAGTCCCAGAAAGCGTGACAATGAGAAGCTATTGAGTTAGAGGGCTATGCATGTGGGTTTGTTGATTGTCGATGCAAGAGTGAGCACTTTGCGAAAGGGTTCAGAGAAGATGAGCTACAAGTGATGCCCCACCCAACTGCTCTGAGCCCATTTGCGCACGCACCGTACGCATTCCCTCTGCCACTAGTGAGCTCAGCATCCCACCTCCATTGTGGACTGCATATGCGTCGACTAACTTTCATGCTCGGAGCTGGTTGACTTTTGAGTCGACTCAATAGTCCCTCTGCTACTAGTGAGCTCAGCATCCCACCTCCATTGTGCGCTGCATATGCATCGACTGCCTTTCATGCTCGGAGCATGAGAGTTGGGGTTATGGCATTCCGGTGGAAAGCACAGCACCCTCCCTGCAATGCCTTCTGCATGTTCTTCCACATTCCAATACCCGGCACATCACACACATGCTTACACTGCACTGTAGCACTGCTGCATTCATTATGTAAGTATATATATGTATAAGCGCGTGTGCTCAACGTGATGGTTTCACGTCCTTAAAAAACGGCGGCGCACATTTGGCAAGCGTCGGTTCAGAAGTTATTTTTATTTTAGCAGAGCTTGCCAGCGCGGAAGTGCTGACTCGCGAAATTCAGGATTTTGTGCGGGCGCCTTTCTTCCGCAGTAACATTTCGCAAGGGATCAATTCTTCCGCGCGTCAAATGTAGACTCTCGTTTTAACCATGTCACTTATATGCTTTCCACTAACGCGCATCGTCATGTTTGTGTCTCATGCTTGACTTCTCCTCGTGGCAGCTACGGGAGGTGCACTCGAGCCGTCTCTACAGGTGCGTCCTCCATGCAGCTCATTTCTTCTAAATGCGCACATGATCACATGCTCGGATTGAACCAGACAGGGTTCGAGCCCTTGTTCCTGTCTACCTTCACCTCTGCCGATGCCGTTCCTTGCCGCACACTTCTAGACGCGCACATGATCACATGTTCGGGTCGAATCGAACAGGGGTTCGAGCTCTTGCTCGCGTCTACCTTCGCGTCAGCCTACACCGTTCCTTGCACCATGCCTTATGGTGTAAATTTGTCATACCACCAATTCATGGCGCCTGTTTTGTAAGAGCACCTCGCAGCAACTTAGTTGGACCACAACGCCGCCGCCATCTCCTTCGAGCCTGCCTCATGCAAGCACGCATGCTTCCCTTTCTCTCTATCCCTCCCCCCTCTCTCTCCCTCCCAGTGGCGCCTGTGTTCTACGCGCACCTGGCAGCGACGCACTGCCGCAACCATTTTGACCACGATCACGATCACGATGCCACCGACTTCTCCTCCGAGTCAAGTGCCGGCCGCAACAGGGACCCTGCCGTCCCTCGCCCTCCCCCTCCTCCTGTGCCTGAGCTGCCTGCTCTCGCACAGGGCATGCCCACACGCATGTTCTACTGCTGATTGCTTGTGCTGCTTCTGAGCTTTACTTTTGAGGCGCCCCAACTGTGAACCCTGGTTAGTGATATATCGACGCGCATGTTCTACTGCTGAGTTTAAATGCGTCTCTAGACGCTGCTGCCCCTCGTCCTCCCCTTCTTCCCTCGCCTCCCCCCTCCGCCTGTGCCTGAGCTGCCTGCTCTCGCTCAGTGCATGCCCACATGCATGTTCTACTGCTGAGTTCGAGACGTCTCAAGACGCCGCCGCCCCTCTCCCTTCCCCTCCTGCCCCTGAGCCGCCTAATCTCGCTCACTGCATCCCCACATGCATTTTCTTCGCTGGGTTTGAAGACGTGTAAAGGTGTTGTTCGATTCAGTAGCTGTATTAAGGTGCTGTTCGCCTTACCAAGTCGCGCGAATGATCAGAAAACTATTAGGTACTCTAATCGGTGTTTGATGACAACATGTGTAACGAGCAGAAAGCGTATTACTACATTATCTTTACAGTGTGTTGAACTGACGCATGCACGTGGGGGTAGACAGGGTTAGAATGAATGCTTGATTGTCCTTCCTCATGACTAACTGTTTATCATTTACTAGCATTGCATGCGTTTAACAAGTGTGTACGGGTATATCTAATTCGAAGTAGATTGCATAACATTCTCATTTTCTGAAGTACATATCATAAACTACACCCGTGAATGTGCAACAAGATTGCTGCTGGAGGACTTCGCCTTCCATTCGCGCTGACTGACAGACGCGTTGATTTTGGTCGCACAATTTCAACACCTGGTCGGTGTCTCTCTATCCGAACCTCGGAAAATGGCTTGCATCATCCGAACCTATTGAACTAACCAATGAATGCACGAGTTGCCGATTTTCATCCAACGACACAGTGCACGCGGCTTTGACCCTCTCGTCACCATTCATGACTCATCTCGTCTCCTATAACTAGCCATTGACTCTCCTCCCATTTCACTCACTCGCCATCAGCTTCCTTATCCTCCTCGACTTTCACTCACCTAAGTACCAGGATCCACAACACCTGTTTTCGTTGATCAGAAAGCTAGAGCAGTTAACTTTCGCCATGTCGTCGATCGTAGCACGATACCAGCCATGGCCGCACTCAGAGCGCTCGTCCTCGCGTGCGCGCTCCTCCTCGTGTCGACGTCCGCCTTGGCGCAGCGTGGTCCGCCTGGCGGAGGTCCTCCCGGCGGTCAGCGCGGAGGTCCTGGCGCCGGTTCCGGCGGCCCTGGCGGTCCCGGTGGTCCCGGCGGCCCCGGTGGTCGCGACGGTCCCGGCGGGCCTGGCGGACCGCGCGGTCCTCCGCTGAACCTCACCGCCGTCGGGAATTTGACGGCCGATATCGGCGCGCGGCTCGCCAACTGCACCGTGGATCAGAAGACCCTTAACGGCAGCTTCCGCCTCGCCGTCTTCAAAAACTCCACCGGAAATTACAATCTGCTCGTCGAGGCGCTGTTGGTGGACGCGGCGGGCGGCCCGCCCGACTCGCTGGCGATCGTGAAGGGCGCCGTGTGCGACGCCGCCGCGACGGACGTGCTCGCGCTGCCGCTCGCCGCGGCGGACTGGCAGCAGCGCGCGGGGTGGTGGCTGCTGCACGCGGAGGCGCGCCTCGACGCGTTCCTCGAGAACGCGGACGCCGCCACCCTCGACGCGCTGCTCGCCGTGCTCCCCACCGCCTCGCCTCCGCCCACCAGCGGCGGCGGGCGCAACGGCGGGGGCAGCACCAGCGGGGGGAGCACCAGCGGGGGCGCGCGGAACGGGCAGGGAGGGAGACGCATGGGGCGGGAGCTGCTGATGGGCGCATTCGGGCGCGCTGCCAGGCAGGGGGGACAGAAGCAGGGGGGGCAGAAGCAGGGGGGGCAGCAGCAGGGGGGGCAGCAGCAGGGGGGAGCGCAGCAGGCGCCTGCAGTGAGCGGGTATGCTGTGCTGGCGGGCAGCAGCGCAGCAGGTGTGACGTGGGGCGGGCAGCTCATGGGCGCCAAGATGCCCGCTGCTGCTGCTGCTGCTGGTGGTGCTTAATGCATCATGTTACTGTGGGTCTTGTCAGTGGGTGGCAAGATGCTCGCCGCTGCTGTCTAGTGCACCACTGCCCCTGCTGCTGCTTCGTTGGGAATTGGAGTTGCTAAAATAGGTCAAAGCATCAGGGGCAGGAATGCTGGCAAGGCATCAGGGGTCACCAACTGACTTGCCAGTCTTCCTACCCTTGATTGTTCCTGTGATGCTTTTCATTGCAATCAGTGCCATTTGTGTGTGTGTGTGCTCAATCTTAAGTTCTCCTGAAGCTTGAGGTATACAGAGCTCTTACCCTGCTCATTCTTCACAAACCATAGGAAAAGGCCTAATGACTGTTGAATCGTGCCAGACAACCGACACAGCTATAAAGATTTGCTGGACAGCAGCCCGAAAGTCTTCCTATCGTGAGGTTATTCCATGTAATCAGTGTCATTATATGCTTGTTTCATACCAATTCAGTGTTTGTATACTCTGCTTCCTTCACCTCGAGTTTGAGATAAGAAAAGCACAGATGAGTATTCATAAGCAGTTTGGATGGGATGTTAATTCTAATGTACCGCATTAACCGCAGTGACTGATATGGTAGCACAGGGCCACGTCGCGTTTCAAGGCTGAAACCAACTTCCGAAAGCTCGAGTGCCGTGCACCAACCTCGTGGTGCGCTGTTTCCCCGCACCCGAGCTTTCCGTTTCCGTCTCACATGTTAGCAGTTTCATCATGCCTCGTTCAGAATGCAGCATTCTCGAGAAAGTACCTAACTAGTGCTTAGGTCGTCAGCAGCAAGCCGCTTGAGGCAGGAGTATACTATCCGATTGTGCGCGTAATCAGGTATCCATATAGCGATTCCAGCAATGGCGAGTATAAGTTTGCAGGTCCCAGATTCGTGTGCGTGACTCCAGACAGCCCATGGTCCTATTCGTTTATTCGATCAGCTTATAGCGGGAAAATCGTCATAGGGTAGGTGACGCATCGGATGGCGCCAGTTTGGTTCAAGCGGGGAGCGCGAATGTCGCGGATGGGGAAGCGGAAGCGGATGGGGAGGGGGATCCGCTTTTGGCGGAGATGGCGGTGGCGGCGGAAAATTTCGCGGGGAAGACTGGCGGAGGAGTTGGGGGAGGGGGAGTATCTAGCGACGAGGCAATACCGCGGGTTCGCCGCAGTGGAATGACGAGCAGAGAGACGGACGTCCCTTTGAAAGTAGGAGCTTAACGGAACGAGCAATATCGAGTAGGGGCCCGGACTGGATATTGTAAGGGGGGAAGAGGGGGAGGAGGGGAGGGGGGGGGGGGGCTGTGTGCGGATAAGGGAGGGCGTGGCGCCGAGATGTTGGTTGCCGTGTTTCTGGAACCGTGGGCAGCTAGGTATGGGTATGCCACTCATGGAATGATATGGCAAATTTTATTATATCATATCATATCAAGGATTGTATTGTTGCTGCTCAGCGATCCACCATCTTCTCTTTCTGCCCCTTCCCTCCGCCCTCTCCTCTGGCGCTCCCATTTGCCCCTTTCCTTTGCCCCTCCCGTTGCCCTTCCCGCATGCCCCTTCTCTTTTCCCCTTCCCCCTGCCCCCCCTGTCCTCCCCTTGCTTCCCCCCACCTACCTTGCTTCTTCGTCTGACCCTTCCTCCTTGCTCCGCCCCCTTGCCTCTCAACCTGCGCCCCTCCCCCTGCTCCTTTCCCCCCTGAATACCCCTGGTGTACTGCCTCTGAGCCTTCTGTCCGCCTTAGGAGCATCCCCTTTACAGGTCGGCTTCCTCTCGTGCACATAAGGCGTTGTGCAACTCGTTACCGGGCTCGTGTCACGGTGAGAGAAGGGAGACGAAGTAGGGGGAGGGGGGCGAGAGAGGGGGAAGGGGAGGGGAAGGGGATGGAGAGGAGAGGGGGAGGGGGAGGATCACTTCCGGATAGGGCAGAGCACCGGTTTGAATGTCAGGAGGGGTGGGGGGTGTGGGGGAGTTGCCTGCTGCTCGACGCGTTTCACTTCACCCTGTGCTCGTGTCTAGGGCAGACCGCAACAGTATAGCGGTGAGCGAAACATGGCGTACCGGCTGACGAGGAAGAAGTCACTGCAACCAGCTGCTCCCGAGTTGACTTGGAGCAGAACAGTTTTTCATCTCTCCTTGCCATGTGCATGCCTCACTCACTCTCGAAACGGTACATGCACACATGATTTCTTCCCTTTGCATTCGTTCCCCTTTGCAAGGCAAAATCTGTGCGGCTCATGTTCTTGCACGTACTAGATTCAGACATTCTTTCACTTCACAAGTATGTGTTTTCATGCGTGAGTCGATTCGGCTAAAGAATGTTGGAAGTTGAGATGGTGGTGTTTGGCTGGTGCGATCGATTTGACCTCCATTGAACGTTTTTGTATCTTCCTTGTAACTTTTTTTTACCTGCTTGAAACCTTCCTGCTGCTGTTGGCGCAGAGCATTTGTGTCACTGTGAGAGAAGGCAGGCAGTGGCAAGCTACTAGGGCAGTGGAGGTGCAGCAATTGTGACGGTGCAGCAAGTGTGACGGTGCAGCAAGTGAGTTGTAGGAAGGAAGTGGAATCAGCTGCTCCTGAGCTGAATTCAATATTTCCATCTCTCTCCTTGTTGTACACGCCTCATTCTCTGTATGGTCTCTTCCCCCATGTACCCACTCCCTCGCATCTCATGTTTTGCTTCCTGCTCAGCTGGGTTTCAGATTAGTAAACTGTTTTACTTAACGGCTATTTTTTGCATGTCTTAGTGTGATGAATCCAGCCTACTTCGAATGTTCTCTTAGCCTCCTTGAAACTGCCGTTGAACCTCCTGAAACCTCTTCAAACCCCTAACAACCTCCCTCACCTCTCCTTGCTTGCCTTCCCTCCCACTCCATTCAGATCATGCTCATTCCATTCCAAGCACAGCATCGATGCAGTGAGGGCGTATGTGGCCGATCACACCACGCCCACCACCAGAGCCGTGGGGTTGGGCAGGTGAGACAAGTTTTAAGTTTTTCCCAAACAGTGCTAGGCAGTGGGTGTGGATGGGCAATTCGTGAGGTTGGGGTAATGGGTGCGGCTGGGCAATGGGTGCGGCTGGGCAATGGGTGCGGCTGGGCAATGGTGAGGTTGGGCAATGGTGTTGCTCACTTCACTGGGGCATGGGCATGGGCATGGGCATGGGCATGGCCGTGCATATACCCACTGGTACTTCAGGGCGGACCCACTGCTATGCAAGTGATTCAGCGGACTTAAATGGGGCATGAGCCGTGTGCCTCCCCCCTCCCTCCGGTCACCGGCATGAGGATATCTGCGCTGCAGCATCAGCTCTCATCAGGCCATCCACAGCATGAGGATAAAACCCATATGAGCTGTGTGATTCCCCCATCCCTCCCCCCACTCTCCCCACCACTCCTCCCCCCACTTTCAACTGGCATTGGCATGGGCATGAGCGTGGGCATGGGCATGGTCAAGGGCTAGAGCCTTGGCAGTGGCATGGACATGGGGATGGGCATGGGGATGGGATGGGCGCGGGCATGGCCGTGGGATTGGGCATGTGCGTTGGAATGGGCATGGAAACGCGCATGGAAATGGGCATGGGATGGGACATGGGCATGGGAATGGTAGTTAAGAGTGCAGAGTCGATTCTGAAGGCATACAGAGAGCCACTGCTGTGCGGGTGACTGAAGTGACTCAGATGACAGTCATTCAGCCAATAGTCTACTATGTGTTACATGCTCCTACATGTCACTTCACCATCGGCCCTAACCCTCGCCATTCCCCTCCTTTGCCAATTCACTTTTCCCTTGCTGCATTCTCCCCATACCCCCCACTATGCTCCCATTCCACTACCATAGGATAGGAGCTTGAGCTCCCATCAAGGCATCCACAGCAAGAAGGTGTTAACCATATCATCCCTGTGCCAGCCCCCTCCCTCCCCCCACCTTTCACCCCCCCTCCTTCCCCCCCATCTTTTCCCCCCAACCCCCCACCCTCCCCCTTCAACTGTGCGAGCCCAAGTCCTTGCTGCCTCTCCAGCTTCCATTCAACAACTTCGCTCCAACAGGGTGGCAACTGATAAAGCCAGGGGATTGTTGGTCGCATATCTTCTTCTGTTCCTCTCGTCAACTTACCAATTTTAAGTGATTGCTGGTCTCGAGCGGTCAGTCAACAAAAACATGTGGTGTTGTGTGAATTAGACGTGAGGCGCTCGGTAGGTATTTAATACAAATTGGAATGCCCTTCCTTGTTACAAGCTTAATTTTTCCAGCATTGCAGGTGTTCAAAAAATACTAAAGATGCAGTTTCAACCACAAAAGCAAGGAACATTTTCCCAATTATCTCAACCGAAAAACCAACAATAATTAACCAAACGAATGCTTCTATAAGCGCTGTATCTTATACTGCACCTGCCAATGTGCTGGAAGGTTGTTGCAGCAGCCCTTTCGCGCTGACTGACGCGTTTTTTCATTCGTGTGATTTGCCTTCAAATCGCGCTGACTCACGTGTTTGAATCCCGTCGCACATTTTCAACTCTCGGTTGGTGTATGTACACCTCGAACCTCCACAGTTGGTCTGGATATTTCTGAACCTCACACATCGCTTGGCAAATTTCACACACAAGCCTCAGCCTCAAACCCAGCTGCTTTGACTCGCGTCAACCTCCCAAAACCAGACTCGTGGTTTTGGCAACTTGCCATTGACTCTCCTACCATTTCACTCACCAACAGCTTCCATTTCCTTCTCGACTTTCTTCACTCAAGCTCCCTAGTCAGTGCGGCCCATACACCAGGGAAAACTTTCACCACTTCGTAGATCACAGCTCGATACAGATCCAGTCATGGCCGCAGTCAGAGCGCTCGTCCTCGCGTGCGTGCTCCTCCTCGTGTCGACGTCCGCCTTGGCGCAGCGTGGTCTGCCTGGCGGAGGTCCTCCCGGCGGTCAGCGCGGAGGCCCTGGCGCCGGTTCTGGCGGCCCCGGAGGTCCCGGCGGTCGCGACGGTCCCGGAGGACCTGGCGGGCCTGGCGAGCCGCGCGGTCCTCCTCTGAACCTGACGGCCGTCGGGAATCTGACGGCCGGTGTTGGCGCGCGGCAGCTCGCCAACTGCACGACGGATCAGAAGATCCTTAACGGCAGCTTCCACCTCGCCATCTTCAAGTAGGCAACGCTGCCTTTTTTGCGTCGCCTAGCATCGCGAGAAAACCCTAATCCAGTAGTGTGCCTTCCCTTTTCCGTTTCAAGTCGCTAGTCGGAGTTACTTCTACCATCCGCTTCCGCACGCATCCTCTCCATCGCGAAAAAGGAAAGTTGCGATTTTTGGCCTCCGAAGGTTTTTCTGTGTAAACCTTGCATACAAGTTGCGCACAATGTCCAAAAAACAGCGCACGAAATTCGCAACATTCTGTACACCAGTGGCGAATGCGGATACCTGCGGAGAAATGTCACCGCAAAGTTGCTTTTCCGTCAACATTTTCGCGTCACTCGGTTTCGAGCGTTCGAGAGCGTTTGAAAGCGGTTTAGCAGGTCAACATTTACAATGACCAGGGTAACATCAAATTTTACGAAACAGAAGGACCTCACGAAACTTAGCGAGGTTGCACAAGTGGATACATCGGTTTCGTTTACTCCCAACTCCGAACCCAACCCCCCAAACCAACCCACAAACGCAAGCTGGTTTCTTCAGAGGTCTGACGTGTGAGCCAACAAATCAATTTAAATCAATCATGGTTGTGCTGTGAAGAGTCCAATCGACACCATCCGTTATCCACACGTCAGCATACGCACCCAACCATCCAAAAACGCCCACCTTCACCGCGGGAAGCTTTCTCCCATGATTCTCCCCCACACCCGTACCTCGCGAACTAAAACGAACGACCTATCTCAGACACCTCTCCTTGTTCAATTTTTGTTCAACGTCCACCAGAAGCGCTCTCCTGGTACCTGCGCCTAACAACTAAGTCCTCATGTTAATCTCACTATTATGCCACTTATTTACCGACGATTTCTCCGTCTCCTTCCGTGGTGAACATGTGCACGGCAGAGTTAACTTCATTGACACATTCTGGACTTTCTCCCTTCCATTTACCCTAACATTCCCCTTTCCAGGTCGACCAGTTACAACACGTTTGCGGATGAAACGCGTCGCGAAATATTGAAGCTTAGCAACACGTTCGGTGATGTATACGTTTTTCATGGTTTCGCCATATCTCATGTTTGCAGTCTCAAGTCATGTTACCTTCTTACGTTTGCATCTACATCTTTCATTCTGTTAGAGACTTCTGTCAAACATATAGCTATATGTTGTAGTTTGGCTAGGCTGTTAGTGGGGTACTCACAGTGGGGTACAACCCCTTAAGTTATACTCCTTGTACCAAACCCTAATAATCATCCTTCTCCTTTGCCTTAATCTCGAAATGGTATCTAGAGCAAGAAGTCTCTAGACCTAAGAATAGGGCCCACCCGTACCGCTGTTACCTACTGCCTGCCTTACCTGCTTCTCGCGCGCGCCTCGGCTGCTCGCGCGCGCGTGTCACTTTTTTTTCGCGCGCGCCTAGGCTGCTCGCGCGCGCGTCGCTTTTTTCGCGCGCGCCTCGGCTGCTCGCGCCCGCGTCGCCTGCGCGTCCCGCGTCGAGTCCGCGCAGCCCACCGCCGCACGCAGCCCGCTGTCGCGTGCGGCCCGCCGTCGCCCTGCGCGCCGCGTCTGTCGCCAGCGCGGCCCGC